GCTTGGCAGAACAACAATCCTTTGCACTCAATCTCTGGCTGATCTCAGCCCCAGTAAAATCCCAGGATTGTTTCTCACCAGCATCAGGTGGTCTCTGAGCTTGGATAAGCACCTGGAGTACCCATGTTCCCATCATGAAGTCCTGCTATGAATTAAACTTGTCACACTGTTGCTGTTCCCCTTCATTGTCAGGGCTACAGCTCACTGTGCAGCCACTGGTATAAGTACTAACATCTCCACACTGGTAGGGGCGGGGCTCCTAAGACACGTGTCCTTGCTTATACACCAGTTTCCTCACTCTGAAATTAAATTTCTGTTTAATACCTGATTCTTCTGTCTCTAGTCTATTTTGTTTTGCTCCAGCCACCCACAGGTTAGAGACCAGTGCCAATCTGATTGACAATTATTATCAGGTGATCAGATAAGAAAGCATGGGTAACTAATACTGTTTTCAATGAATGGTTTTCAAGCGATTTTAGCCCAGCTGTTGAAAATGTGGCAAGGACAACAAAATCTTTTAAAGCATTACTAGTTTTAGATAATGCCCAAGGTCATCCAACTATACTTAATTCACTGGGTGAGAATATGACCATGCAAATTCACTGAGATGTCGATAATTGCAACTACCAGCATGCATATGAAAATTTAAAGAAGCAGAGAACGGTTCAGTCTATGCCATTAAAATATTTTAAATAATCATAATGACATTTTTGTCATGCAGTTAGTATAGGATTAACTTTAGGTAGGATATTCAGTAATTTTTTAATTTTTGCTTTCTGTTAACTACTCTATTGCATCATAATAAACTTTTTTCTTACCTCTTGCTATTATATTAATAAATAGATTAACTTATGTTTTAAAATGTTCAGTGTACATTTCCTTTGAGCTGTAACCAATTATCATATTTTACATGTACTTATAATTTTGAATAGTGCAAAGCTGATGGGAATTCAAATAATGCAACCACTTATGGGATTCATTATTCAACCAGATTAGGAACTAGGACTACGTCAATTCAAATAAACAAATATTTATTAAGCACGTACTACACATCCAAAACACTGTTGCTTGGCTGTGGGATTGCCACCAAAATAGTCTTCTCCCTTAATAAGCTTGCACTGACATGTAACACACATAAAATAAAGACACTAGAATGAAAATTAAGGAAGGAGAGAACATTAAGGACTGTGTTTCCCTCCTTAATGGCTAGTCTTTTTTCCCATGTTGGCCTTCAGATGAGGTGAGATAAACAATAACCGTCGCTCCTCCTCATAGCATCTAAGAGCAACATGGTTGACTCTGAGCAGATTTTCAGGGTCAAGTCTGTTACATGTTCCATTCAAGATTATTAGACAACCCAATAGGGTCATGAAGGGAGTAAACTGTCTTTTCCTTCAGCTAGAGAAAACTGTTTCTTCCCCTCCTTCACCCCAACAACGTTTAGGGGCCCAGGCACTAGCCCCCAGTTCCATTTAACCTCTTAACATCAATTGGCTTTTACAAAGGGACATTTACTTCACAGGGGTAAGTGAGTGGCACAGGGGGAGAGTGCCAGGCCTGGAGTCAGGAAGATTTGAGTTCAAATGTGGCCTCCTAGCTGTGTGACCCTGGGCAAGTTATTTAAACCCTGTTTGCCTCAGTTTCTTCATCTGTAAAATGAGCTGGAAAAGGCAATGGCAAGCCACTCCAGTATCTTTGCCAAGAAAACCCCAAATGTGGCCACAAAGAGTCAGACACAACTGAAAATGACTGAACAAAAATATTTACTTCACAGATAATAGAGTTATTTGTTCAAATGTACAAACATTTCCCCCAATTCCCCAGGGACATAATCCTCCCTATTCTGCTTTATTCCTGGGTAGTTGAGTAGCAATTAAGCTCAAAACTTAGCACATGTAGGACATGGCACTAGTTCTACCAAGTTCATATCCAGATGCAGTATGACTGGTAGGTGAATCCTTATGCTGGGTTAGAGCCCCAAAGGCCGCTTCATAAGACTCCTTGCTTCTTAGAGCATTATTGCTGTGCTGCTGGGCCATCTCCAGTTGTTCTGATCTGTATCTGGCCACTGGACCCAGATGGCTCTGGAGGAGAAAGTGAGGCTGGTGACTTTGCACAGCCCTCCCTCACTTAAATCCAATTCACTTGCAAGTTATTGCATCATCTTCCTGATATCATGGTCCTCTTAGAGAATGAAGGACAAACCACACACCACACCATTGCTGTGCTGGATGATCAACCTGGTGTGGACTCTTACTCCTGGCTTCCCATGGCTTGTTCTGCTCTTTCTAACTACCAAGATTGGAGACTACATGCCCTTCACTAGTCACCATGAGCAAAGGAGTCACCATGATACATTGGATTGAATGAGGCAGAGACCATAGTTGAAGTTGGCAAGCCTTTTAAAATGCCTACATGGCCAATCAAAAAACCTCTTCTTCAATACATATTTAGCCAACCAGAACCAGGTATGGAATATTCACACCTGTTTCAGTCTCTCCAAGGTACTTCCCTCACATGACATCACATTTTTCCTAAAAGCAGCACCCTAGCATGGTCCATATGGAGATGCACTATTGGCAAGGTGATGCTGTCTGCACATGTTCAGATCTTCCAAAACATAAACATTTAGTCATCACTTATTATTTTTTTAATTTAAATACTCTTTTTTACTTTAAAAGTCTACTTCATGGTCAACTTGTGGTCAAAGGACATGTCTAACTCTCTTTTTTGTTTGTTTGTTTTTTTTTTTCTGGAGGAAAGAATGGAAGTATCTGATAGTATTATAGAAACATCTTTTCTCATGAAGGAGTTTGTTTGCTTTTTCCAGAACTGGCAAATTTGGGTAGTTAGTTTCTTTAGCTTTTCAAAATATCACATGTCCTAGTTGAGTGATGCTACACTGTTCAAATTGATGCTCTTTGCTATGTTATTTTCTTACTCCAGCTAATTAGAAAATTGTCTCTTTGATACTGAAGCTTTGGAATTTAGTAAATACTTTTCTGGTTGAGGTAAACTTGGCATGATGGTGTTCTACAGACTCTACCCTTTGTTTCCAATTACTTCTGAATAATTTTCTTGTATGATGTTCTAGGATATGGTATTCAGATCTTTTATTTCCTCACTCTGTTTAGATGTCAATAAATTCTCAGGTTTTCTTATTAAGCTCTATTGTTTTGATAACAGGAATCTTAATTTATTCTAGTTATGCCATTTAAATTTATGTTATTTGTTCTGCCATTATGAGATATGGGAGATACTGGCATAGAACCGCCCAGCATGGTGTGCCCACATGAAAGAAAGCACTATGCTCTATGAGCAAAGTAGAATTGCAGTAGCTCAAAAGAAACATGAGATTGTGTTCAAATGGACTATCTGTGCACAAACTATGATAGAACCTTCCAAGTTCGTGTTGGTCTGATCAGTCAGAGTCAGACACACTGTACACTGACCACAATCTAGGGATGTCATTTTAGTTCTTTTTGAGTACAAAGGACAATAACCAACCAATGTTCTGCCATTTCTGTATTTTTGTCTTCCATATGTTACATTACATTCTCAGAGAATCTACTGACTTATAAAGATTTCCCACCAAATGTTCAAAAGTTGTCAAGTCTCATTTTTGTATTTTTATGTCATTGTCCATGCCTCATATTTTTATAGGTACTAGATTTTTTTTTATCAATCATTGATTTTTTTTAACAATTCTGAATGTTTTTAATGTTAGTTTATTTTTTTCTTCTAGGGTTCTAGTTGTTTTATGGTTTTTTTTTTTCCTTTTGAAGGCTGGACTTCACTTTCATTTACCCTATAACATTATTTTTTATGAAGATTTCTTTCCTTTCCCCTCTACTTTTGATTATTTTTAAAAATTTTATTAAGCACATTTATGACTTTCTGAAGTGATTGAGTACTGGGTACAGTTATGACCACTCAGTCATCTTGCTAAAACTTCATAGAAGGATTTTTCTCCTTTGTTTTGATTTTATCTTTTAAAGAAAAGATCATTTATCTCCTTTCTTTCTGTATTATATAGCATTTGTAAAGGAAGTTTGTGTGAAAATTTTTGTGATGCTACCCATTCTAAAAACAATATATTAAAATCTTATTTTTTTTAATCAGAAAATTCTAAGACGGAAATACATGTAACTGCTGACCCTATTGATATGAATGCTTCACTAAAATAAGACCAACCCTGGGAACTCAACCTTAGTAATTCTACTTCCTTTAAGTTATTTTCTTTAAAAAAAGATTAATGGAGGCAGGGACCAAGGGGAAAATTGCTTGATTATATTAACTGAAGTTTAAGTAAGTGTGTCTAACTTACTGGTAACTAAGGAGTGAAGGGGGTTGGGATAAACCTATTCTTCTTGTAACTCACTAGAAACATGAGTGTAAGAGGGATAGGCCCTATCTTAAGTTGCTATAGACCTATGGATTTAGGACAGTTTTCATTGTGACCCCCATCTCTGAATTTTCTATCTGTCACCATAAGATATGACCAACCCCAAGACTTTTGGGTATAATAGCAACAGCTGGGTAGTCCTGATTCTTCTATTCCATTGGCAAAGTTTTACATTTTCTTATTTCCTGCTTGTTACCTTTTCTTATCTCAATAGTATTTTCGTTTCTCCAGGAACATATATTCACAGAATATTAGAATGGGAAAGGACTTTAGTGATGATCTTAATCCAGTCCCCTCATTTTATAGAAGAGGAAACTGAGTTACATACAAATGAATTACTTTCCCAAAATCACACAGTCAGTTAGTGGCAGAATTAGGACTAGAAACAAAGTATACTGACTCTCAGTTCAAGGCTTTTTGGATTCCATCATACCACTATCCCTCTAACATCACCAGTCACTGACTGATCTAGCAAAAAATGAGCAAATAAAATATCAGAAGAGTGATTGTTCCTAGAATCCCATATCTCAGAGGCAGATAAATTACTGTACAAGACAAATATGTAGATCAAAAAAGGGAGGAATTGTTTTCTTGCCTGTCACGAGGTTGTTGCTGAAGTTTTTCAAGTCGTACGGGAGATGATGATTGGGTCTGTTGTGGTTGAGTCCCAACAGTAACATTCAAGTCTGGTGATAGGAATGCTGGATATTCTATTAGTTGCGGTGTGATAACATTTCTACAAAGTAGAAATGCAGTTAAGTATCTAAAACATGTCTTCTGCAAATGTGCACAATTCTAAAACCAATACTCCTCATTTCCTCCCTATCTCCATTATCTTGCCAGCTCCTTTATCTATCCCTAGACTAGTAGTGAGTGAGGTTAGAATAAGGTCTATGATTCTAAAGGGGATGAGACCTCTCATTCCTCCAGAGTTTCCTTTTATTTGCAAGAAAGAAAGCTCAGGGAAAACAGCCACAGCAAAGGAGATAAAAGGCCTGAATTTCTTTGTGAAAAATAGGTAATTCACTGCTATTGCTTTGCTTTAGATCAACAGAAAATGACTGAAGCAGGAAAAGGTTTTCATAGCTTTTGTCAGTAAAGAAGGGTAACTAAGTTTCTCTCCTACCTAGGTTTGAGCCCTCTGCTACAAGCAGAAGTTTTACTATTTAAATTTTTTATTTTTTTTACGAATATTGTACATGGAAAGGAAAATAATTCCCATAAAAATTACATTTTCCCAATCCAACATCCACAAATTTCAAGGAGGTTTATATTTTTAATATACATCGAATCAATCTCCTGCTTTTTAGCCCTTGCTTGTGTACTTAATGTTACCTGCATTATGCTGTTCATTTCCATTTCAGGTATATGGTTTTGAAATGAAAAGTTTCCCTATATAACGCTAGGTTTTCTTGAATCCCTATTTATTTTTTGCTCCTAATTTCTCTTCGTTCGTGCTTGTGCCTTTAATGCTTCAACCAAATGTTATTTATGTCTTCTCTTTCTTTCAGATCAAGTTCCATTACTCTCCCTGAAATATGTACCTCCTTTTACTTTTGAATATCCTTCTGAGTCACTCTAAACATGAATTCCTTGGCCCTGATTCCCTCTTCTTATTATTCAACATGTGATATACTAAATGTTTTCAAATTTAATATTTAATTTTCTTTGAATTCTCAAATGAGTTAATATGTAAAGTACTGTGCAAATCTTAAAGTGCTATATAAATACTAGCTATTAATTCACTGTTTTAATTTATTTCACATTTTAATTAATTTAATTCACAATTTTAATTCACATTTCAATATAAGTTGGTATACAAGGGCATCGAACAAATACTTATCAAATTATTGGGATTCTTGAAGCCATCTTAAAAATAGTTTTTTAATTTATCAATGAATAAAAATTTTTCAAAAGCACTTACGTTAGAGGGTCTGTTCTTTCTACAGGTGGGGGAATATTCATAAACATGGATGGCTGAATCAACTTCTGAAGTGGTTTTAACTGAAAAAGAAAAATATAAATTAATTTTAATAATAAATAATTAGTACCTTCATTTTACCTGATTAGGCAAAGTGATGAGGTACAATAGACTTGGAGTCAGAAGACAAGTCATTTTCCTCCTCCATAAAAATGAGAGGGTTGGACTAGACAACATTTAAGGTCCGTTTTAACTATAACAGTCTACAAGTACGCATAGCAGATGCACATAGGAAAAATTCTTACTGGCAGAATCTAAGCACTTCTAAGGAAATTCAGACCTTAGACCCCAATCATGCATGAGCAAAATTCTAGGGCACAAATAGGTTGTGAATAGGGCCCGCTGAGAGAAAAAGCCTTGAGAAAGAGTCAGGGAGCTTTCAGATCATGGCAATGAAAGGAACAGGAAGCAGAAATAGAAATACAGTGATTGCCTGGCAGAGATTCCTGAGCCAAGCCAGAATTTATTAGAGCTGAATTGCAGACTACATTGAGAACTAAAATGAGACACAGAGTAGAAGCACAGACACAAGAGCAAAGAAGTAAGTCAGAGCTCCTGACAGAGAGAGAAGCAGGCAACAAGTGAGACCTCTCAGACGGGCCCTTTCATCGAGGTTCTCAAATTCAGCCATTTTACGGGGACTTCCCCTATCGGTCCTGTGAGATTCTGGGGGAGGTAGGAATTGTAAGCCCCCTGAAGAGAGAAAGGAAGGGCTGAATATTAACTCGAATGGGAAATTAAAAGATCATATTGTGAAAGACGCTAAAATATCAGAGAAGCCAGTTGGTGCAGTGGATAGACAGCTTGGCCTGGAGTCTGGAAAAGCTGAGTTTAAATCCCACTTCAGGCTTTTATTAGCTATGTGACCCTGCCATAGTCACAAGTCTGTCTGCCTCAGTTTTCTCAACTGTAAAATGAGGATATTCATAGCATAACAGGGTTGTTGAGAGGATGAACTGAAATAATATGTGTACAGAGTTTAGCACAGTGCCTAGAACATAGTAGGTGCTAATTTAAATGTTTATTCCATTGTCCTTCCCCTATTACATCCTACTCTGTTCTTTCCATACACTTTAATAAAAACATGTTCCATGTTACATTCCTTGTTAGGTTGATGTTTGTAGGAGAACCGAGCAGTTGTAGGAGAAACTTAGAAATGCATCTAATTCAGATATTTCCAAGAATATTTCTAGATTGGAGCTGAATAAGCCATAATGTCATCATTAAAAAGACTTTAAAATTAAACCTGGCCCATAGGAATATGCATGGTCATATCCAACAGAGCCTCAGGTCATATCCAAAACTTTAAAAAGAAAAAAAAAGGAAAGAAGATGAGGGTGGAATGAAAGACGAGTGCACTTTTTAATATTTTGCTATCTTTGTTGAAAGATGATACTTTATTATTTTTTAATGGCAAAATCCTAAGCTGAAATAGGAAATTAAGACTGTGGAAGTCTTTAGCGCACCTCCCTGTAGAGGCCCTGCCTAGTACCCTGGGATCATTTCACTTTTCTTGTCCAACCCTGAGTATTGCTTTTTAAACCATGCATAAAAATCTTCCAAAAATCTCTTATCTAGTAGCTTATTCATTTGGCCTAATCCACAGCACAGCTTTAGATTGCAGTTCCTTGAGAAAAGAATTATTTCTGGGTTAAAGAACTGGTCTTTAGAAAATGAGAATTCTGGGCAAGGATAAGAAAGAAAGTACGAGGGGAAAAAAAAAAGAAAAGATGGCACAAAGTTGTGGTGTGCTAAATTTGCCTGTGTGTTATTCAGCAGTACTGGTACCATAATTTGCTTCTTTCTAATTCAAAATTTTGTATCAAATATTAATACCAAACTATGTCAATTTTAAGAATGTATATAAAACTATTTGTATTTATAGAAGACTAGGAACTGAAGAGAGGATCTAAAAATATTCAATTGTATTTTCTAAATAAGAAAGATTGACGGATTATGCTAGTCTGACCAAGGGATATTTAAATAAATATAGTTGATTCAGTACTTTGACAGATCTGTGATCTCATTGATGTGAGTTTTCCCTTTTAGTCATTGTAAGAGAAAAAAGCTAATTTGCAATTTGAAATTATCAAATCCCTATACCAGAAGTTGTTAATTGTGAAGTGATTTCACTTCATCCATTGTCACTAGAACCCTTAAATTTTTTATTGTGAATTTAATAATCATTAATAGATACAAACAGTTCAAAAGAACAAACAGTACTAAAAACAGCAAAGAGAATTATATAAGAAATGTGATCTTCTGTTACAGTTTTTAAATTGTTACACAGTTTTTTTTTAAGTTATCTATATAGATATAGTTTAACAAAGCAATAACAAAATTTCTATATTCCCTTCCACATTTTTGGAATTGCCCCTTCTGTGCTTTAAAAATGTTTTACTGATGCTCTTGCTTTTTCATTTCTATCACTATCTCTATTTTTCATGTCTATCACTGTCACTACATTAAAGTACCTTCTTCTTACCAAACAGAATCCCTCCTTTGTTACAACTATGTATAGAAAAGTAAAACAGCTAACACCGTGGTCATATCTGAGAATTCATGTCTCATTCTATGCCTCTAGCTCATCACTTCTCAGCCAAGAGGCTGGAGGTATGTTTCCTCTCCAGCCTTTTGAAGTTGAGACTGGCCACTGCTTTGGTTAGAGTTTTGAAGTCTAAGTTGTTTACACCTCACATTATTACTGGGGTCAATGCATAAATTGTTCTCCTGGTTTTGCGCATTTCACTTTATTATTAATTTTTGCAAATCTTTCCATATCTGAATCTATCATAGTCATCATTTCTTATGGCATAATAACATTCCAAAACATTAATATACCACAATTGGTCAGCCATTCCCTAATTAATAGACACCTATTTTGTTTGTGCTTCTTTGCCATAACAAAAAGTGCTGCTATAAATATTCTTGTACATCTATGCTCTTTCCCTCTGTCCTTCATTTTCTTAGGGTATATGCTTAAAATAGTATTATTATTGGTTCAAAGGGTATGTATAGTTGAAAGACTTTGGGGGCATAGTTACAAATTGCTTTCCAGAATGGTCAAGCCAATTCACAGATCCAGCAACAGGTCATTAGTGTGTCTGTTCTCTTACAATACCTCCAAAAACTGCTATTTTCTTCTGCTTCCATCTTTTTCTAACTGATGAGTGTGAAGTAGAATCTCAGAGTTGTTTTAATTCGCATTTCTCTTGGTGATATTTTTCACAAGGTTGGTGATACAACTTATTGTTCAGTTGTTTCAGTCATATTCTCTGTGTCCCCATTTGGGGTTTTCTTGGCAAAGATATTGGAGTGCCATTTCCTTCTCCAGCTCATTTTATAGATGAGGAAACTGAGGCAAACAGGATTAAGTGACTTGCCTAGAGTCACACAGCTAGGAAATGTTTTAGGTCAAACTTAAATTTGGGAACATGAGTCTTCTTGACTTCAGGCTGGGCACTGTATTCCCTGTGCCACCTGGCTGCTCCTGTTGCTATCATGTATTTTTTCATTTGAGAATTGTCCAATCCTATCCTTTAACCACTTATCTTTTGAGGAATAGTTCTTGTTCTTATGTATTCATACCAATTTCTTATATATCTTGGATATTAAACTTTTATCAGGAAAATTTTCTGTTAGGATTTTTCTCAATTGTTTTCCTTCTGGCTCTAAATGTATTTATTATGTGTGTGTAGAAACTTTTTGGTTTTATATACTTAAAGTTGTCCATTGTAAGACTGTAAAGATATGGTCTGGAGTGGGAAGTCATTTTTCTACAATCTGCACCTAGATAACATCATCAGGAGAACACTGGGGCTAAAGAGATGGAGTTTTACAGCAGTGAATCTTAGAGAATGAGGATGCTGACAAAGGCAGAATAACTATGGGAAATGAAGATGCCTACACCTGGTACTCATTCCTTAGGCCCATTTACGGGCATTAGGGCTATAGTGGGACACAGAATAGTTGAAAATTGGCCGGGGTGTGGTAAATGAAGGAGTGTAGGTAGAGAGATAGAGTTGTGGGGGAGTAAACTTAAAGAATCAGATATTGTGTGGGAGGAAGGTATTGAGTATTTAACAATTCATGGCGCTTAATTTGGTAACTTCAAAGAAGTACAGAATGATGGAGTGGAAAAGAATATTAAGTGGATGATATGAAAGAGCAAGAGAAAGTAAGCCTGGGAAAGATATAGTGACAGGCTATTAAACAGATTCCATCTCACGTCACTTACTGAAACACATATTCTAAGTTCCCTCCATCCTGTTTTGGAAAAGTGTGTCCCAGCTTAAGAGTACCTAGAGCTGAGGGTGTTCAGAACTAAGAATTCAATTAAAAAATTAAATAATTAAAAATTGAAAAAATGTGTTAAATGCATATATCCAAGGCTAAGGCATTATGGATACAAAGACCAAAAAAAAAAGTCCCTACCTTCAAGGTGCTAGGGATATAGTTTTAATTCCTCCACAGATATGTCAACTGATTAATCATTGGACACAGCAAATTAAAAGTGCCAAAATTTAAATAATATTCCTAAAAAGGCTAAAAAAATTTTTTTGTTTGCTTTGAACCTTATCGATAAGGAAAAAAAGTATTTGACAGAAATAACGACAAGGGTCTACAGGTTCTCAGGACCTCAAGGGGGTGGGGGCAAAGACACCTACAGAAGAGACAGAGCCAAAAACAATATAAATTGGATGGGCCCCCAAAAGGGACACGGGATGATACTGGGGCCTTATCATCACTCAGAAACAATATCCCTTGGCAAAGTGGAGCTAACTGTAGCTACTACAAAGTGCTTTCTACAACCAATCAAGGGATATCTATGATGTATATTCTTCAGGAGCTCTTTATTCTTCTCTTAACCATCAGTCTGCAACTAGAGCAGCTCTGAGAAGTGTCCCAGGTCCTTGGTTGCCTTCACCAGCACTGCCCACTCCTTTTGCAGGAGCATGTGAGTCATGAAGGCCAGGATGAACCATTCAAGGCTCACTTGTAGATTTGTAGAGACAGCGAGGTAAAAAGTCTTTATCTATGACCTCTTGGCATAAGTTATTCCATATTTAAACTAGCTTCCATTTTTGTGCAAATAAGTAGTCACATCCATCTTTCCATGTTTGTATTTACTTTTACCCCAGGTCTTCTACAAAGTAAACCACAGAGGAAAAGCAAAGGTGCTGTCTTCTGTACACTCAAGGCCAACCACAGATTAGCAATCTTTTGTTTTTTCTCCCAGAAAGACACAAGATGCCCGCCTCCTCTTTCCAAGGTCATCGGCAGAGAGATACACTCTGATTTAATTGATTTTTAATGTATATCATTACTATTTACACTGGTAAGGTGTTGCCTGTGTTCAGAGCTCATTTGGCTGACAGAAGAAATGGTTAGAAGATATCATTAGAAGTTAGAAAACATTAGATAATGTTAGAAGTCAGTCAGCGTCTCTCCCTGTCCTCAAGTGCAGGCCCCTTGACTGATTCCAAACTTCAAATGTGGCCCTCTAGGTCTTCAAGTGCAGCCCCTTTGACTGACTCAAATCCCAATTTGTTCTATGAAGTTTGGAATCAGTCAAAGGGCCTGCACTTGAGGACCTAGAGGGCCACATGTGGCCTCGAGGTCACAGGTTCCCCACCCCTGATATTAGACCAACAACTCACACGACATACAGAGATGAGGTAAAAATGGGTATATGATTTAGATATAAGGGATGATATCATAAGCAAATTAGGGGAGGATGGAAAATTTTACCTCTCAGATCTATGGATAAGGAAGAATTTATGACCAAACAAGAGATACAGAGCATTACAGGATGTAAGATGAATGATTTTGATTACATTAAATTAAAAAAAAATTTCACAAATAAAACCAATGCAACAGAGAACAGAAAGAAAGCAGGAAATTGGGAAAATAGTTTTATAGCAAGTTTCTCTGATAAAGGCCTACTTTATAGAGAGAACTGAGTCAAATACATAGAGATATACATAGAGAACCGAGTCAAATTTATAAGAATATGAGTCATTCCCCAATTGATAAATGGTCAAAAGATATGAACAGGCAGTTTTTTGATGAAGAAATACATGAAAAAATGTTCTAATCACTATTGATTAGAGAAATACAAATTAAAACAATTCTGAGGTATTATCTCACATCTATCAGGTTGTCTAATATGTTGGAAAAGAAAAATGACAAATGTTGGATGGGATGTGGAAAAGTTGGGACACTAATGCACTGTTGGTGGAGTTGTTAATTGACTGAACCATTTTGGAGGGCAATTTAGAACTATGTCCAAAGGGCTATAAAACCGGGCCTATCCTTTGACCCAACAGTACCACCACTAGGTCTGTATTCCAAAGAGATCAAAGAAAAATGAAAAGGACCTATAGGTACAAAAATATTTATAGCTGCTTTTTTTGTGGTGGCAAAGAATTGGAAATTGAGGTGATGCACAGTAACCGGGGAATGGCTGAACAAGTTGTTTTATATGGTTGTTATGGAATATTATTGTGCTTTAAGAAATGACAAGCAGGATGCTTTCAGAAAAACCTGGGAAGACTTATATGAACTGATGCAAAGTAAATGAGCAAGAACCAGGAGAATGTTGTACACAGTAACAGTAATATTGTATGATGATCAACCATGAATGGTTTAGCTATTCTCAGCAATACAATGATTCAAGACAATCCCAAAAAACTTATGATAAAAAAGCGTATTCACCCACAGAGAAAAAACTGATGGAGTCTGAATGCAGACTGAAGGATACTTTTTTATTTATTTTAAAGGGAGGGAAGGATAAAATTTGAAACTCAAAACAAAAAAGTGTTAAAAAATTGTTTTAGCATGTAATTGAGGGGAAAATAAAATACATATTAAAAAATTCACAGATGCTGAGAAGTATTCCTTAACTATGTAATAGAAACTCAGTTTCTTACACAATCCTCTTTTTTGTTCTTTGAATTTTTAAATGTCTGTTGATGATTATTAAATTCACAATAAACAAAAAATAAGCCTAAGAGAATATTGCTACTGAAAACTATAATATAACAAAGTAAAAAATTAGGACCAACCTGATGTGAAAAGCCATAACCAAAGTTTCCATAGGAAAACATAAATTCCACTTCAGCCCTGCAGACAACCTAAACATGAGACAAATTCGTTTTCATACATTAGATCAGAATGTTATTCTAATGGATAAGATAATAACAAAGTAATACTTTTTACTACACATAATACTGCAAAATGTTAGAAAAGCCAAAAGTATCTTATAATAAATGCAAGATTTATGTGTAAATTCTCTTGTGACACAGCAAGACTTGCATGAATTGTAAGGAAGGTCAATGTCTGAATGGCAAAAACAAAACAAACAACCCTCCCCCCTCCCCCCCAAAAACAAAAAAAAAACTCCACAACAAAAGGTTGGTTGTCATTTTTTTTGATGTAGCACTTTGTGTGTCTTGTGGTCACCAAGCTTTCCTCTGTTACCATCTTCTGGACTTTAGTTCTTTGGAACTATTTGCTAGATTGTCAGAATTCATCTGCTATAGTGGGGACAGCCTCTCCTTGACAATGCCATCCTAGCTATTCCATGAACTACATTTAGCTAAGAATAGCCAACAAATGCCAGCCAGAATGCTCTTGGCTAAGATTAAGCCTATTTTTTTAAATTATCTAACAGGTATGCAAATGGAATTAGCCAAAACAAAAGCAAAGTGAAGAGGACAAGGCCACTGCCCTATCTTGATGTCATTTTATACATCTGTGACCAAAAAACAAATGCCTGGCTTTTGTGCTATATTCTGTGCACTAATGCAAAAGCTCCTCCTATCTTCCTACATTGAATAATTTTCAGAGCAAGATTAACAAGCAATGCATGGATGGTTTTTCTTGGATTCTTATAATAATTTATGGATACTGGTGCAATACTCAAGTTTCCTATTTACAATCTGTTTGCACTCACTCTTGCTATATAACAAGCCTACCTCCTTTTTTTAGTCAGGTACCTTTTATATCACTTGAACATGTCTTCATTGACAATATGCTAAAATAGGATGACTTTAACCCACTATATATTTTCCCATTACCACTTGGGTCACATGTATTACTAATTATTTAGAGATTAGGGTATTATACCATTTGTAAACAAATTGTATCACTAGGGAAATGTATTGAAAATTACGGATGTTGCTGACAGAGCAGTTTAGAATCACCAAAAGCACTTTGTAATTTCCCAAATATTATCCTGCTACCCTTTTATATTGAAAATGTGCCTAGTCCATTATCTATCTGCAGTGCTTATCTAAGATTTACACTGATAAATTAATTCAATGGACTAGACACCAAATTGCATGTCAAAATCTGGGGAAAATATATTCTTAATCTACTTGCTTTTCCTTGTATGTAGTACTAGGTAAATCTCTAGAATCCATTTAATGCTCTTGGTTTGAAGCAATTTATCAGCACAATGTAATCAACAAAATGAACATCTCTACACTAACAGAGAATTTCTCATTTATTTAGACTATGGAAGTCATGTCCATGATGGTGACCTTTGGAGACCAAATATTTTGTCTGCTTTATGTCTCACTTTAATAGTCAGAGATTCACTAAACAAAATTATTTCTGTAGTTGCATTTGCCAAGGAATAGTTTATAATCTTGACATATGCCTAGAAGAGACCCCATTGAAGAAGAGCCCTTAAGTTGGTATTTTGTTCTACAAAGACAATTTTTTTGGTAACATAGCAGGATCTTGTGGTATTCTCTGTACTTCTCAGCCAGTTGAATGACTATGGGTACATAAGTGACTAGGAAAGCCTGCCTATTCTCTTCTGATATTTTCATCAAGGTCATCCTCAAAATATGCATAGACCAGAGGTGGAACCAAGATGGTGGAGTAAAGGCAGGACTAGCCTGAGCTATTTCCCAAACCCCCCCAAATACCTTTAAAAAAATGACACTAAACAAATTCTAGAATAGCAAAACCCACAAAAAAATGGAATGACACAAATTTCCAGCCCAAGACAACTTGGAAGGAGAGCAGGAAAGGTCTGTTGTACAAGGGTTAGAGAAGAGTGTATTACAATACAGGTCATACCAGCATAGACCAGGCCCCAACAAACACAGAGTAGGCCTTGGGGCTACTGAATCATTGGGAGCGTGGTGGTTTCCAGACCTCTCAGCCCACAGACACCAAAGATAACTTAGAAGGTCAGCAGGAAAGGTCTGTCTCACCTTGATGAGAGTGGAATGCAGTCCAGTGTAGGCCATGCCAGCACAGCCCCAGCCACAGCAAACCAGGACATGCCTTGGAAATGATTGAATCAGCAGCAGAAGCGGCTGCTTCCAGAGCTCTCAGCCCACAGATGGTAAGGGTGTTGAACAACTGGTCAGAAGGAGATTACAGAAGTCTTTTTGCTAGCACTGAGGCAGAACTCTGTTGCTCTGCCCATACTCAGATCTGGGTCTCAGACCTGGGTGGCAGTTCCGGGGAGCACTAGCACAGGAGAGCTTGCAGCCACAGTGGAAGGGGGACCCTCCTCACAATTCCAGGGTAGAAAAGAATGCTTGTGGTCACTCACAGACCACAGCATAGGCCAGGAGAATAGTAAACACCTCTCCTTAGATCATACCATCTTGGAAGAACTGAAAACTTATAGGTCCCTGGAAGTGCCTCTGAAAACAGCTGCACAAAACCCACTTTTCAACCCACAAACGCTAAAGACAACTTATAAGGTCAGTGGGAAGGGTCTGTTGGACCTGAGTGAGAGAGGAATGTGGTCCATCCCTGGCCCTAGCACAAAGCTCTTGGTTCAAAGACTGTGGGGGGATTGAGTGGCTGATCAGAGGGGGACTGCAGGGATCTCTTTGCTGGTGCTGAGGCAGGATTCTCTTGCTTTTCCAGTGCTTGAATCTGGGTCACAGTCCAGGTTGGTGGTCCTGGGGTGAGGAGGCATGTTGGCATCACAGAGCTTAAGGCCGCCGTAGAGAGGGAATCATCCTCATATTTCCAGGGCAGAAAAGAGTGCTTGTGGTCACTCATAGACCAGAGCACAGGCATAAAGGAGTAACACCTTTCCTTTGATCATACCACCTTGGAAGAACTGAAAATTTATAGGTCCGTAGAAGTATCTCTGAAAACAACTGCACAAAACCTGCAAAGCTTAGGACAGTACACCCTCCACAATGGAAGCAGAGCCCTACCTTAACAAAGAGTTAAAAAGTCAAATAATTGGCTAAGAACATGAGCAAACAGAGGAAAAGAACTCAGTCTATAGAATCTTACTTTAGTGACAAAGAAGATCAAAACACACACCAGAAGAAGACAACAAAGTCAAAGCTCCTACATCCAAAGCCTCCAAAAAAAATACAAATTGGTATCAGGCCATGGAAGAGCTCAGAAAGGATTTTGAAAATCAAGTAAGAGAGGTAGAGGAAAAATTGGGAAGAGAAATGAAAGTGATGCAAGAAAATCATGAAAAATGAGTCAACAGCTTGCTAAAGGAGACCCAAAAAAGTACTAAAGAATATAACACCTTAAAAAATAGACTAGACCAACTGGCAAAAAAGGTTCAAAAAGTCAACGAAGGAAAGAGTGCCTTAAAAAGCAGAACTGGCCAAATGGGAAAGGAAGTCCAAAAGGTTCAAATGCTCACTGAAAAAAATAATTCCTTAAAAATTAGAATGGAGCAAATGGAGGCTATGAGAAATCAAGAAACGATAAAACAAAACCAAAGGAATGAAAAAATAGAAGACAATGTAAAATATCTCAATGGAAAAACAAGTGACCTGGAAAATAGATCCAAGAGAGACAATTTACAAATAACTGGAGTACCTGAAAGCCATGATCAAAAAAAGAACCTAGATATCATCTTTCAAGAAATTATCAAGGAAAACTGCCCTGATATTCCAGAATCAGAGAGTAAAACAGAAATCGAAAGAATCCACCGATCAACTCCTGAAAGAGATCCTGAAATGAAAACTCTCAGTAATATTATAGCCAAATTCCAGAGTTCCCAGGTCAAGGAGAAAATATTGCAAGCAGCTAGAAAGAAACAATTGAAGTATTGCAGCTTCTACATTAAGGGATCAGAGGGCTTGGAATATGATATTCTGGAGAGCAGAGAATCTAGGATTATGATTAAGAATCACCTACCCAACAAAACTGAGTGTAATCCTTCAGGGCAAAAAAGGATATTTAATGAGATAGAGGACTTTCAAGCATTCTTGATGAAAAGACCAGAGCTGAACAGAAAATCTGACTTTCAAATATAAGACTCAAGAAAAGCATAAAAAGAACATAAACAGAAAAGAGAAATCATAACGGACTTAAGATTTAACTGTTTTACATTCCTACATGAGAAGATGATATTTGTAACTTATAAGACCTTTCTCATTATTAGGGTAGTTATTAATAGGGTTACATACAGACAGAGGGCACAGGTGTGAGCTGAACATGAAGGGACAATATCTAAAAAATAAAATTAAGGGGTGAGAGAGGAACGTACTTGGAGAAAGAAAACAAGAGTAAATTATCTCACATAAAAGAGGTAAGAAAGAAAAAGTTTTTACAGCAGAGGGGAAGAGAGGAGAGGTGAGGGGGAGTGAGTGAACTTTACTTTCATCAGAATTGGCTCAAAGGAAATAATATACTCATTCAATTGGGTATAGAGGTCTATCTTACCTTACAGGAAAAGTAGGAGGGGAATAAGAGAAAATGGGGAGGACAGAAGAGATGACAGACTCAGGGAGGGGGTAGTCAGAAGCAAAATACTTTTGAGGACAGGGTGAAAGGAGAGAGAGATGAGAATAAATGTTGTGGAGGGAATAGGATGGAGGGAAATACAGTTAGCAATAGTAACTGAAAAAAATGTTGCAGCAAGTTTCTCTAATAAAGGCCTCATTTCTCAAACATATAGAGAACTGAGCCAAATTTATAAAAGTAAGAGCCATTCCCCAATTGATAAATGATCAAAAGATAGGATGTTTTCAAATGAAGTAATACAAGCTATCTATATCCATATGAAAGAATACTCTAGCTCTTTATTGATTGAAGAAATGTAAATTAAGGCAATTTTGAGCCACTACTTCATATCTATTAGATTGGCTAATAGGACAGAAAAGGTAAATGACAAACGTTG